GAGTTAAGTAAATTGTTGTCTGTTCCCATTAGAAACGCGAAAAAATGAGTTTCAAAATAACGATAATAAAATTCAGTCAAGTAACTGTAACTAGTGAAGTGACAATACTGCCGATATCCAGGTCACTTTACACATTTAATTAAAAACAATAGCATCACTCGTTTGAAAATAAAACAGTTCTTATTCTTTTCTTTGACGATTTATAATTCTATGGTAAAGAAATATAATTTGGTATTCGTTTACAGAATTTCACAAACATTTTTTTATATTGATTAAGCTGATATAGCTCACTTATTCATGATACGGGTTGTAATTATGTACATAAATTATCATACTATTAGTTATGTTGCAGGACAACATACAGAAAATTATGTATTGTTTCTATTTTGTAAATATAATAATAGAGCGACATCTCTGACTTGATTTTCTTGTTGTGCTTATATTGCATTTTGTTATGTCAGTTCTGTAATGGATTTACAAGTGATTTCTAATTGTATTTTATCACCATATGCTTGGGCGTCCATGGCCGACTGCTTCAAACCAATTCCCCCTCACCAGTGCGGCTCCAAATTCCGCTCAGGACGTCGGTGTCTTTCTTGAGAGGAAACTTTCCAGCTAGCTTACGGAATGTCAGTTGTTCCACTCAGGTGCCCGTCCTTGTCTGAAATAATTCACAAATGAGCATATGTGGTTTTCCTCTACCAGTAAAGCTTAAAGTCGTCATATGACCTTGACAATGTTGGTTCTACATATACCTCACCTTCAGGATATTTCGACTGATTTTCATTTTATTTTTTGTTAAATACAGTGTTCATTGAAACCTCAAAATATCTATTATGAATTCTGCACAAGTCTTCAGGTTTTGAGCACATGGCTAACTTTATTTAAGAGACCAGTTACCACTCATTGTGTCCTACCAAAAATATCAATTTGTAGTATAGCGTGAAATATTTGTCTTCTCGAAACGTACAGTTATTTTTATTCACAGGCCATAACACAGCCAAAAACAATTCATCAAGAAAACCCTTGTAATATGCACAAGTACTTGAGCTACCAATCAATCCTGTCAAGTTTAAATGAAATTGCATTAGTGGTTTAAGAAAATTAGCTCGTACAAATTAAAAAAAATAAGCCATTAAAGGGCCATAAAGTTTCGATAAAAATTGAAACGATAATTTTAGGAGTAGTCTGGTTTTGTGGAGCTGGCAACACTAAAAGCACCTTTTTAGTGCCATAACTAGGTTAAATAGCAGTCCACGTACAACCCGTGTAATATTCGCAAGGACTTTAGCTACAGATCAATCCTGTAAAGTTTCAATAAAATGTCATTAGTGGTATAACAGGAGTAGTCTTGACATACATACAAAATAATAAAAAAAACATTAAAGGGTCATAACTCTCACAAAATTCATTGACCCTCAAAATGTCGACAATATGCACAACAACACTTAGTGCTGACCAGTTCTGTAAAGTTAAGATGAAATTGCATCAGTAGTTTAATTTGAGAAGTCCAGGTGAGTGTTGTTACGGATGGACAGACGGCGGAGAAGTGATCCCTATTTTTCGCCACTTCTTTGCAGAGGCGACAGAAAAACCTGATTACCGTCCCGGGATACCTTTAAGCTGTTATCGACTGCATTTATTTTTGAATGACATGTACCTTTTTAAGTCACTTTATATCATAACAGCCTAAGTTTTGGTACCTTTTATTATCTTGCTGCGAATTCTTTAGAGAAGCTTTTCAGTTTTTTTCTTCTTCTTTTTAATTGGATTCTCTTATACATGTAGTTCTTGAAAGCAGGATAGGGCGCGCCACGCTTCCAACCAGTCTAGTTCGTTGAGACGTTAGCATAGTTCTTAAGTACGAAAATCTAATACATGTATGCATAATATGTTTTACAAATTGAAAATGCGTGAACTTACAATTTGTCAGTTACAAAATATTTTTAAGACACTCATTTTTCATAATATTTGAATCAAGTCGACTCATTTGGAAGATTTTGCGTTATCGCATTGCCTTGTGAACGACTGAACGACTGGATCAGTTTGTTCTAAAGTCAAGCAAAACCAAATCAACTGTATATGCATTTGATAAGTTCATTTTGGTTTGCAGTTCGTTCCAACACGTTTATTTTTTATACTCCTTCCATAACTTTAAAATTCATCCAATGGAATTGATCAATGAAACCGCTACATAAAGTTCGTTACAAAACTTAGTGAATAACACTCGTTACATGGTGACAATGTTGGGATATTTAAATAAGTTTAATCTACTACTGAGGAATAACAAGCTACATATATTTATGTCATGTTTTCCAGAGTTTTACTGTAATACATGTATATCAGATAAACCAGTAGTGAAATTTATAAAATATAATTTTCACTGTAACCGAACTAATCTGAATGCGGATGAAAATAATATCATAACTAAATGGAATAACAGGCAATAATAATGCCGTTATACGTAAATGTTGATTCTTTAGGAAAAGAAAGTCGGTGTCATCATACATCATGTTATAAATGTAACAAAATAAGAGAAATTTAACAGAACTATATATTATAATTTCTTAATACACATGGTCTTAACAAGTAAACATTTGCAAGGAGTTTCAATGTTTATGTGCTAAATATATTCAAAATGTTTATTGCCTTTGTGTGTTGTGGTTTGCCTTGCATAAAACTTCTATTTATATGTGGCATATTAATCATATAGATGGTCTCTAGATCAAATCTTACCATCACCAGAGGAAGAAACATTAAAATAACCTTTTAATACATTAAGCATCATTTATTCAAGCATGATTTTATTGGAAACTTTTAAGTCCTGGATTATCGTACACTTATGTCATATAAGGAACTGTGGTGGTGACCTATGTAGTACTCGAACACCAATCCATGGTTTGAGTAACAGATACCAGAGTGACTGGGCAACCACTATTTGAAACAAAAACATTTAGCCACATAGTTCATTCATGTAATTCGGGCAATCATAGCCCTATTTTCTGTAATGTTACATCAGAAATAAACTGAAAAATTATTTATGTGAATTCATTTATTCATAAATAACATATCATATTTTTTACATTTTATTTTATATGAACATTGATATTATGTTTTAACAATAAAGAAAATTTCACATTTTTAGAAGAGATAAACAACAAAAGGGCCAAAATGGCCCTAGATCGCTCACCTGACCCATCGAACTCATCCGAAACAAAAATCCTGACCAAGTTTGATGACAATTGATTAAAAAATGTGACCACTAGAGGTTAACAAGGTTTTCCCATATTTAGGCAGTGAACTAGTTTTTAAACCCAGGTAACCCATATTCAAACTTGACCTAGAAATATTCAAAACAAACTTGAAGACCAATTTCCAGGATATTAGAATCAAAACAGTAGCCACTAGATTGTTAACAAGATTTTTCTATTTTTAGCTCCTGTGACCTAGTTTTTCATCAGAGATAACCCATATTTAAACTCATGCGAGCATTTACCTAGACAAGCATCCTGACCAAGTTTGATAACAACTGAGTCAAAAATGTGACCACTAAAGTGTTAACAAAGTTTTTCACTATTTGGGCGGTGTGACCTAGTTTTTGACCCAAGTAGACCCATATTCGAATTTGACCTAGAAATCATCAAAACAAACTTTCAATTTCTAAGATATTTGGATCAAAACAGTAGCCACTAGAGAGTTAACAAGATTTTTCCATTTTTAGCTCCCGTGACCTAGTTTTTCATCCGAGATTACCTGTGTTCAAACTCATCCGAGCAATTACCTAGACCACATTCTGACAAGGTTTGATGATGATTGAAGAAAAATGTGACCACTAGAGTGTTAACAAACAAATGTAGACGGACGACGGACATTCAACGATCCTAATACCCCCTGAGCTTGCTCAGGTGAGCTAATAAATGCAATGAATATAACTATCATACTAAAGTATAAAGATTAGTCCTAGATTATGGCAATCAGCATCATAATATGAACTTAATCTGGAAGATGTTTGAGCAAATAACATTTATAAACAAAAACATGTATGTAGAAAAAAACTGTTATTATGTCAATAATCATCAAGAGCTGTCGGCAGGACAGCTTGTTCGAATAGTGTCGGTACTTGGTAACATAGCAAAGCCGGATAATGCATAATGAAAAATGGTCAGTTCTGTCCAAATCCACGTTAAAGTTATGGGACTTGGACAGTGACCTAATATGCTCTCAAACGTGTAAAGTTTCAACTCATTCCCTTTAATAGTTTTGGAGAAATCAACTTGCAAGCAAAAACTCAACCAAAGTGTGACGCTACGGTGAGTACAATGATTACATGAAAAATACTTACACTAAATGTATTTCAAAAAATTCATTTTATCACAGAATTAATAAAATATATAAAAATAATATCATATTGCACATCACATTTCTGACAATATATGAACATTTATAATGATCGCTTATGGCTTTAAAGTACAAGCCTGTCAATCATGAGTATTTTACAGATTCAGACAGCGTTTTTTTACTGTTAAAAATACTAAGGATATACTGGAAACGTTTTGCTGCATTTTCTTATACATGAACATGCTTCACAATGGAATTGCATGCGGAACAAATAAAAAACTTTCTGTCTGCTTATTTAAGGCTTGTTTGTGTGAAAAAAAGTAATCGGACACCTTTGAAAACTTACCTGATGAATAATTTTAATGTGGCATTATAATAAAACAGGTATTGTATGAATATATATGTGAATATCTAAGTCAATGGTAATGACTTTCACCTCATATTCATACAATAATTGAATACTATTTACTTTCTCAACTAAAAAAAGAATATACCCATAGGAAAATTATGATTAATGGTTTAAATGACAAATGACGTTTTTTTTGTGTGTGTTTTTATTTTTAGTTTTTTTTTGGTGTTTTTTTGTATGTGTGTTTTTTTGTGTGGCTTATTTTTTGTTTTTTTTTTTAGTTTTTTTTTTTGTTTTTTTTTTTGCGTGTGTGTTTTTTTTTTGTTTTTTTTTGTGTGGCTTTTTGGCATTTTGGCTTTCAGTCCATGGGGAAATATAATAAACAACATATTAACAGTTTACAGAGCATAGTAAGTAAACAACAATTGACATATCAATCATTTATATTCAACTTATTCAAGTTAATTTATTAGTTTGGTTGTATGTAATATTTCTTTGGTAGGTAATTATTGCGTAAATCTTCACAACAGTCGTATAAGTCCGTTTTCCTTTCCCTTAAAATCATTACATAAATTTCATAAACGATAATTGTTTTTGTTTTTTAAAAGAATGTGTTTATGCTTTTACACTGTACCACATGTGCTACATGTTTGCACCTTACCAAGTATGCTATACGAATGATAATAAATTTAGCTCTCCTATTGCATCATATTACTCTTTACCATGTATGCTGCACATAAGATAATCAAGACATTCTTTACTAAACATAACTGAATTTGACTAATATCAAATTTACACTGTCAGACAGTACAAGTTTCCATAAACATAGTGTAGGCACTTCGATATTGGCATATCATATTGGCATTATCTACTAAATATAATGTTTGATTAGCAGCATTTCTTAATTTCATGATGTGCATTATGGTGCTGACCATTCAATCACATATTTCCACTAGTGTGATCATATTTTAAGATAACATGTATGCGCAAACAACAACATGGCCGTCCTAGTCAGCTGCTGCAGGAATTTGTTCCTTGCATTCTTTATACAATCCTTGACAGCATTTCTATAAAGTAAAACGCCAACCTTTTATTTCTGATAGAAAAACACATTTAAAATTGAGTTTTTTTTATAAAGTGAATGATTCACAAATCTTAAAGCATTTCAAGAATAACTAGAAATGTGTCCATAAGACACGGGTGCCCCCACACGATTTGTCAATCTTATGTCTCTAGGTAAATTTTTTTTTGGCTACATCTGCCCAAGTTGAAAACAAAAAATCTTGTATTAAGTAAAGGACAAATACTACAAATACAAAATAAATCCACAAGAGAACCTCAAGTTGCATAAGTACACATGATGAGCAACATTCTTGGAAACTTTTAGGCCGACAGGTCATAAACTTAAGTTAAATACACAAGTTAAATATTGTAAATTTTTAATTAGTCAAGGGCAATTACTCTAAAAATACTATAAAAATATCCACTCGAAAATACCCAGGTGCACAACTACACATGCTGATCAACATTCCTGTAAGGTTTCATGACTCTAAGTCGAATATTTTTTGAGTTACGTGCGACACAAGTTGAAAATTGGAAAAAAATTCTAAGTCAAGGGCAATGACTCTAAAAATACTAAGAATATACACACAAAAATACCCAGGTGCACAACTTCACATGCTGAGCAACATTCTTGTAAGGTTTCATGACTCTAGGTCAAATACTTTTTGAGTTACGTGCGACACAAGTTGAAAATTGCAAATTTTTACTAAGTCAAGGGCAATAACTCTAAAAATACTAAATATATCCACATGAAAATACCCAGGTGCACAACTTCACATGCTGATCAACATTCCTGTAAGGTTTCATGACTCTAGGTCAATTACTTTTTGAGCTATGTGCGACACAAAAAGGGAACGGACGGACGGACAAGGGTAAATCTAAATGCCCCCCTAGAGTGGGGGGCACAAAAAACTGACATTACAGATATATATCAGTTAAGTCACAGCTTATAATGTATCAGTTCCTGAACATTATAACCAATTTGTTAGCATTAAACTACAACCTCTTTACTACACAATTTCTTTGAAAAAAATGAATACTTAGATAAACATGTTAAACAGAAAAATGAATCACACAAAAATATACCAGTTTATGCTAGATATGTCCTAACTGTGCCTTTTATATATTTCCCGCAACCTTCTACCGAACAGTATCTAATAGTTGGTGCACAAGTTTCACATGTAACTAAATGTCCACATGGTAGAAAAACGATGCATACATCATTTTGTTTACATTTGGTACACATTGATTGTTGTTTCAGCTGTTCATTTTCTTGTTTGAGCTTTTTCTGTTCTAAAAGTTGTGCCTTTTCTAAACGAGAAAAGTAAAAGTATATATTCAAATTCATGACAGTGTTGACTTAGTACTTTTTTAGCATATGTTATATACACAAATCTAATATTTGTTTGTCTTATAAATAGGGTAAACTAATTAAATTTGTAACATACTATTTTGAGTTCTGTTTGCTTCACTGCTTGCATTTGTTGTTAAGGATGCCTGGGAGGATGTATTCCCAACTGGAACTGACTGAGTCCTTGCCGAATTTGATGACGCTAAACTAGTATTGAGGGATACTCTTTGGCTTTGGGTGTTATTGTTAACTGTAACTGGTACTTGAGCAATTGTATTTGACTGGTTTGGAGGTGTTCCTTGGACAGATTGGTTATTTTCACCATTTGCCGATGCTTCATCTTCTAACTCGAAGATTTTCTCCATCAATATTGCGGCGCTTAAAGTTCGCCCATCTTTAAAAATTATAAAAATGATATTTTTATTCTAATGTATAGCAAGATTTTTTTTTCTTTACATTACTAACTATAAATTCTTATTCTCGTGTAAAGCAGGATTTCTTTTTCTTTGCATTACTAATTATAAATTCATAATAAGTATATGTATATATGTGTCTTTGTGTTTTTGTAATACACACATGCTTTGTGACATAAACATGCATATCAATAAAAATGTAAATTTTAATATTTATGAAATAACAGTAAATTCCATAATTTCATTTGTTTCCGATAGCGCTTTTAATGCTATTTGTGCATATGCAAGTAATTAGCCAAATATTTTAATCAAAAGATCCATCCTCAAGTTTTTCTTACTTCTAAAGTCTCGCACATCGGAGGAAAAATATTGTAAGAAACAATACTCCTACGAAACATATTTTTCTTGAACAAAATACAATTCAATATTGATATTTGACTGTCAAGGTCATTCAGCGGGAAGGTCTCATCCGAATTAATCAAATTTGCTTTAAAATTATGCTTCCTTTTGCAATAAATCAAATCCACAAGTAAATAACCAAGTTATGATAATTCAACAAATTTAAACAATTGACCTTGAAGGTTATGGGTATGTTAAGGTCAAGGTCATACTAAAATAAAGCAACATGTCAATTTAGTCTCATGTGTACTTTTGTCCAAGTATCAATCAAATCTGTGAATAAACAACAGAGTTATGATAATTCAAGCAATTTTCAATAATTTGGCATTGGCATTTAACGTCAATTAAAGCTCAAGGTATAAATTAAATTTGTAAATAGATACAAGTTATGACAATTTCAGTAAATTCCAATACTTTGACCATGAAGGTCAAATAAAGGTCAATGTCATCTTTTAATTAACTAGCATGCCTGTTTTAAAATATCGGTTCTTTTGTCCAAATATTTATCAGTCTGTAAAAAATGACAAAGTAATAACAATCTAAGCTAATTCCGATGTTTGACCTGAAAGCCAATGTCATTTATAGGTCAAGGTTGAATTTGAATTTCTTAACATCTCAGTTGTATTCTTTTGTCCAAGTATAAATCTAATCCATAGATAAATAACAAAGATATGGTCAGCTATGGCAAAATTCACTATTTTGACCTATAGTGTACCAATGTTAAAGTTATCAGACGGGGTAACGACAACATGACTGTAGCACAATAGCTCTTTTTCTTCAGAAAAAGTCAAACTAATAAAAAGGAAAACAGGCTTTAATTGGCGTTGTACATTTAACAGGAACAGGCCAGTCTGTCTGAACACATATTACATCTCCTTACTTAAGAATACATGTACCTACGTAAGGCGTTTTAGAGTGGTGATAGGCAGTTGTAAACCAAGAAGTTGAACCATACTGGAGTCATAAAGCAAATTTACGTAGCAGACTTTAAAATGGTTCATTTTAACCAATCAAATAGAAAGATATTGTTAGTTATACAAATCATCATTACTTAATAATAGTTGTAATTTAATTAAATGTCTATACCATTTCCATCTCTTATTGCACGTAAGGCGCTCCGTATGACATGTGGATTGTAGCCCATCTCTAGTACACTTTGGGCAGCATCTGTATGCATTTTGCGCTCTATCTCAGCATCAGACCCTGTTTGATAAAAAAAATACTTGTCTTATATACACTATTATAATTACAACAACAATAAAAAACAGTATTTTTCAATTTTTTTTTTCAATTTCATTTTCTAGTATCCAATCAAACACCTCAAATGGTGGTCTTTTGAAAAAGGTATTGAGTATTTTGAATAGAGAAAGCAATGGTAAAACTGCAATAAAACACAAAATGTTTGGCATAGAATGTATTCAATATTCTCAGTGCATTTTTTATTGGTGTTTAATTAATTTTCATTGTTGAGTAATTATTGCTCATTTTTCATATAAAAGAACAAATCTTACCAGTAGCACTTCCACCTGGAGTCTGGCCATTTCCATTTTGCTAATTAAAATAAATTGGTTAACAGTTATCTAAAAGACATTTACATACTGGCATATATGATAGTTTTGTCCGTAGTTTCAAAGCAATAAAGACGTTAAGTATAAATACACTTAAATAAATCATGTAAATGTACATGAAGATATTTGTACTTAGTACAAGGCAGTCTTTTCTAAAAAAGGTTATCTGAAACTGCACCAACAGAATGTCAGGAAGATATTAGAAACTTACATTCTGAGAGTATTGTACAGCCATTTGAACAATATTCACAAACTCTTGACCTCTCACTTGTTTAACAAATAAACAATCCTTTGACCATCTACTATGTTCGATCCAAGGATCATCTTCTTCTGACCAATGACGAAGACCTGAACATCAAGGGCAATTTACGTAAAATCATACAATGAACCGGTAATTGACAGTAATTGCCAATTTATGTTAAAATTTGGTTTTTAAAAAAGGAGACATTCTCCATTACTAAAATTCAGTAATGATTTAGGGCGAGAAATTCATACAAATAACAGTAAGTAAATACAAATTACATATTTTAGATTTGAAGACCACAAAATAAATACTTTGCCGACTCAGATTTTCCTATTATTCCTATTGTTTCGATAAAAGTTTGTTTTCTTGAGGGGTGGGTTATGTCGCACTAACACAGAAGAGGTCATATGTCATATGGCTACTTTTCATATTTACTGGTTAAAGAAGACATCATGTGCCCAAATATGCATTGTCTCAGGTACAGACTGGCACCTGAGACTGAGGCACCAACATTCTGGATAGCTTCCTTATGTGAAGGATTCCAGTCTTTGGCGTTGCAGGCCAAGTGGTTTAAAGTCAATGATTTTAACCACTTGGCCACAGATGCCCAAAAGATTAGAGAGGGACATGTCTTATATGTTTTTTAAATGACCATAAGGGCAGTGCTAGTCTTTTCTCCTTTCTTATAACACGAAGCTAAAAGTGAAGGATACTTACCAACGCCACATTGGAAGCACCTAACACAGTCACCAAAGCCAGCATAGAAAAATCCTGAGGTAGCCAAACTATCTGGTGGTATCACAATGTCTCCACAATCATTGAAACTTGTCACCCTGGCAGTTTTGCTGGCATACTTTGGATATTTTGGAGCAGTTGATCTATTAGTTCCTGGTAATATTGACATTAAACATCTACATTTCATGATAAACTCAGCTTGTACAACAATGTCTTTCCTTTTTACAAGTTAACAAATGTTTTAATCGTTAAACAAAACTCACCTTTAAACCTTTTTACGACGCGGTCCGTTGCTATGAAAAATCGACCGGAATTAGAATTTTCTCGCGCATGCGCAATCTGCGTAGGGCAAAAAATGCTTCGCCCTACATAGAAATATAGTAGAAGTTCATAGACAATACCGAGTTAGTTCAAGGTAAACGGTAGAAAATTTCAACAAATATAGAAAAGATGACTTTATAGCTTTGTGGCGAAGAATGCCATAAAAAGGCATGGAAATTATATATTTGTTTATGAATTTACGATCACGGACCTGACACCGAGATCATTTTTTTAAAGAAGATGTGGAAATAAATGAAAAGTCAACTTATTTGCTGTTGAAATAGTTTATTTAAAAACAAAAGAAATTATATAACATGAAATCGAGATTAATTATCATTCATAAAAAATATCAGAACAGGTGATAATGCATTTTTAGTGTTCAGTATACCTGATTATATCCTTTATCCGATTTGCCGCTGATGCAAACAGAAAAATTCAAGTCACATAAAAAGATTTTAAATAAATAATTTTTTTTTCAAAATCTTGAGAAGTTAAGATGGGTTGTTTGGATAAGATATAACACACATTTTATCCGCTTCTTCGTAATACATGTTATTTTTAATAATGCACGTCACACAATTTTTCTCGTCTCAAAATCCATAAATTTAAAAGTTACATAAATTACCAGTTTAATAAGCGTAACTGATTAACTATATCATGATATTTAAACGTCCTGGTTGAATGAACAAACGTTCGCGTGCCAATCTGTTTGACACTTGCCGCCGGACCAATCCAGTTATTCAAAAGAAGTGTACAATACAAATTGTGTAATATTATGTAATACAGGGGTAATAAAATTTTATCTTTAACACCCTGCTGTTTCAATTTAAATTACTGATGGAAAAGTCGTCTAATGAAACCTTCAACAAAGACATGTATGTGCCCGTTTTGGCCATTGAATTATTACTCCCGCAAATTTTCGTAGATCTGTTAAAAAATAGATTCACGTTTTCAGTACCTTTAAATTAATATTATTTAGGTGAGATAACATGAAATCGCATCTATTTTAGCCTTAAAGTATGATAAACTGTAGACATCGTAATTGCTTTTTTCCCTATGCATAATGCGCATGCGCGAAATGCAACATTCGTTGCTATGGAAAATCGTATTGTAAAAAGGTCTATATCGAGTCTAACAACTCGAAGAACATTTTATGAAAAGTTGGCTTATAAAAGAACAAGAAAAATCTTATTGTATGTAGATAAATCAAAACAAATAAAGTTTATCTTCAATTTCATACGTATATACTGTTCCCAGACTAAGGGACTTCAATATTTAACAATAAAGATTATATAACGATAAAAGTGTACATGTTTCGAAGATAGCTCTCTAAAGAGCATATCTACACATCAGCAACCAAGTACATGTACTTAAAGGCCCTGTATGTCTCAAAAATGCTTCATTTTTTTCTCTCATTTTGGTAATTTGTTACAGTTTCCAGATAAAATACTCGTTTGCCACATAGATGAACTTACTTCAACTACAGTTGCTCTGGTTGTAATTGGTATAACTATAGTAAACATAAGTATATATTTTCTACAGATGTCAAAGTACTACTTTTTTACATTTTGCTTGCTTAACGACACATAATTGTACATTTAACCTAGTTTTTCAGTTGTAAAACTTTTAACATGCTCTAAATCCATTAAAAAACATTATTAATCGCAGGTTTTTGATTTCTTAAGAATAAAAATAATATAAACTTCTGAGGCATAACATGCCTCTTAATAAAGCAATACAGAGCTTTTTAAGACAATGACTTTTACAAACATAAATATCCATATCATTTTATATAAATATCTTTTTTAACATACCTTGAGCAGACAGTTCAGATGTTGGTCTTAATGAACTTGAACTCACAACTGGAGAGGCATGGATACCATTTGAAGCTGTGACACTATTTGATTGGTGCTCCTGTACAAATGAACTCGCTGATGAGGTCATTACAAAATTACCATGAGCTCTTGGCTGCACTCTATTTTGAGATAGTTCACTGTTTGTTGAAACAACAGGTGATGATATAGCCTGTGTCACATTTGGAGTAGATGAATTTGCTGTTGTACTAGAGTGGTTTGTCGGTCCACTTGTATTACATGATATTGTGTCACTGGTAGAAGCTGAGCTAGTCTGGTTGGTATTTTCAAGAATTTGAGAAGATGTAGATCTATTACTTTCTTGGATTAATAATTCTGACATTCTTACAGGCACATTCACCTCTAAATTGCTAAGAAGAAAACTGCAATTAGGATTTAACTCTCGATGTATTTCTATAGGAATATCATCTTCGCGCCAATTGCTTTTTCTACGTGCACAACAGTAGCAAACAACTTCATCATCTGTGTTTGCAAAATAAAAACCTGCCTGAGCTATTCTTGTTATATATGGCTTATTGTGTTTGGGAAATGATCTTAAAGTGCAAAATCGGAGAAGTTCATAACGCATTGTTACTTGAGGAGGGACTCTCTCTCCTCCTGCTATTTTGTCAATTATATGCATTAATGGTTCAAACCTTTGAAGATCAGCTGTGTCAACTTCGGGACTTGGAAGATCACTGACAGTAATGCCTACAGCATTGCTAGTTTCTGATGCTTGAGATGGCAATGTTGATGAACTGTCTTCTGGATGATCAGTCTTTTGAACATATTCTACATTTGGGTTTGTAGTTGGTTTATCACAGCCTTTGAGACTGTGTTGAATAGATTCACCCGAGTCATGAGCTATGTCCCCATTTGTAAATCTAGATGCTTCATTGAGAAAATGTTCATCAGAAGATAATGCCCCAGGTGGGATAGAAGTACTAATGACTTCATTATCTATTGCAAAATTTCTTGTCATGGGAGTATCACTAATGGGATTATCAGTTGCTGATAAATCTTCATTATCATTAACAGTTCTGGCTGTTTCTTGAGGTTGTTCGGTATTACTTTCTTCAGTAAACACTGGATTACTAGCAATGTAAGTACTACATGGGAACATATCATTTTCATGACAAATAATAGATTTTATAGGATCTTTTTCTTCCTTATTAGGCGAATCGTCATTTTCTTCCATTTGCTGTAAACCAGCATGTTGTGTTTTTAGGTCAACTGTTGTTCCACTTAGTTGATATCTTTGATTCAAATTTATAACTGATGTTCTTTTTCCGGCTTGAAATATCTCATTTGGCAAAGCCCCCACTGAATGAAAATTACTATGGTTACAATTATAGTTTTCTTCAGTTTCTGAGGCATGGTTACTGTTTTCATGGTCATGAATACAAACAGTTGGCCAAGGTTCTGACATTATATTTGTCCTTACGTTTTCCAAAACATACATTTTGTCAGTCATTTTACTTTTATAAGGCATGCCCAAATGTTTGTCATCTAGAGATCTGAAGATCAGTCTATTTAACCATGCATCAAATATTTTCTTTGAAATAAAATCTCCCCTATTTAATGCAGAAATATATTCACAATTTATATGATTCAATTTTAATTCTATATATGAACAAATGTTTGGTAATGAAATAGGTATAAGGTCAAACATATTTTTTGTTACATAATTAGGCACATATTCTTTTGTGAACTGAATCCACCAATGTTTATTATGATAAACACTTGATTCTGTGTTGTGAAACATCCTGCAACACTGTTGCACTGTTTTAATATCTGAATAAAGAGTGGCGCTGTCTGTCAATGACTCTGAAGAAATTGTATTAATTTGGCTTAATGTAAGCAAAATTTCATTAAGATATTCTAGAGACAGAACATTTGGTTATTCTGCTATTTTGTCTGAGAGTTGCCGTTGTGTCAAACGAATATTTAAAACGTCCTCTTCAAAGTTTATATACTTTGTATGTGCAATCGGTCTTGTAATGTAAATAGGCCAATTCCTTGAAATTTCTTTGAGGCTTCGACTTGAGTATTTATCCCACTGATCATCTGTAAATATTATGAACGAATTTTGCATAGTTTATGCTTATCTGTCATGTGTATATTATTCTTACAATAAGTAAATATTGAGAATGACAAATATGTTATCATTACCTCACTGCTATTGAAGTGAGAACAAAATTAAAATACAATCATTCCTGGATGTAGAGTCGGAATGATCTAGTCAGACTACTGTTAAACAGAAAGTGTTCATTTTAGTGAGAAAAATCAATTTCCCTGCTTATATAACAGACTCCGAAAAAGGCCTCGTCCCAATTGAAATTTTCTTTAAAATCATGCAGTTTTTCCAAAAAAGGCATGTTCCCAATTAAGTGAGAAAAATTACTGCGTAGTGTACTTCAGTGTTGTTATATTTTTGTTGGTCCTTGGGATAATTGATTCCAATACTTTTAAGAGTTGAAAATTAACAACAAAAGTCATGATAACGTTACACAATTAAAGCAAAATTCAATGATTTGACATTGATGGCAATGGTCATTTTAAGGTCTTATTTTACATTATTCAATACTACTGCTGTGTCACAAGGTCAATGTCTCATTTGAATTATTAAACACTACGGTTGTGTCAAAAGTGTTGTAATGTCCAAGAAACAACAATATTCTAAATGAAATAAGAAATCAACTAAGATCCGGGAATAAATCTCTTTTTACCTTGACGGCCAAAGTCATTTAAAGGTCAAGGTAATATTTGAAAACAATCATATTGCTTTTCATAAGTTCTTTTAAATTTTCAGGCATGAGTCAAATCTCAATGAAATTAAAAAGGTATAGACCACTTAAGCAACATTATAATGGTGACCTTGAAGGTCAAGCTCATTGAAATATCGAGGTTATATTTAGATTATTCAACATTTCAGTTTGTCATAAATAGTCTTTTGTCTATGCGTGAACAAACCTGTAAATTAATCACAAAGTTATGACAACAAATGTAAAATTCAAAAGATAACGAAGGGGATTCGAGGTAAATTGAAGGTCAATGTCATTTTAACATTATTCACAATGTCCATTTATGAATGTATAAATCAAGTGTAAATCAATGATAACGGTCATTTCAAGATAAAGTTATGTTTTTATCATTCAACAGGTCAGCTTTTCTCAATATAAATATATATTTTGTCCAAGACAAAGATGAATCCAATTCATAAATAAAATGTTATTGAAGTATGAATCAAATTCATAAATAAATAAATTTTTGTCAATGTATGAATCAAACTCTTATAAAAACAAAACAAGTGGACCATGATGACCCTTATAATGTTCACCTGATTCTTAGGGCTCCTAAATGAACCTATAACTACGAATGCAAACCAGATATATTGTCCTATTCTGAAACTGATATAACGTTCACGACAATTTTGTTTTTATATTTAAGCTGTGTGTTCGAGTTTTTGACCCCAGATGACCCTTATACAATTTTGAGCTAGAAAGCATCTAAATAACCTTACTGACAAATTTCCAGGATATTTGGACTGAAAATATATTTATAGTATTTACAAGGTTTTTCTTCTATATTTGGGCTCTGTGGCCTTCTTTTTGACCCCAGATGATCCATATTAAAAGTTGAACAAGAAATCATAAAAACCCTTTCTGACCAATTTCCAGGATATATGGACTGAAACAGTTGCCTCTAAAGTGTTAACAACATTCTTTCCATTTTGGTTCCTTTGACCTAGTTTTAATCCTATGACCAATGTTCGAACTTTTCCGAGCAATCACTGGGACAGACATCCTGAAAAACTTTGGTGAAAATTGATGCAAATATGTAAACACTAGAGCGTTAACAAATTAGAATTGGACGGATGACTGACGAGTGACAATCAGCGATCCTATAAGCTCACCCTGAGCCAGCTAAGGTGCGCTTAATAGAAATGAAAATCAGTTAACATGTTGGTTTTGTCATAAGTAACAAAGTTATGACAATTTTTGTAAAATTCAATAATTTGACCTTGACCGTCAAAGTCAAGGAAATGTCATGTCTCATGTTTATTTGAGTTATATATCATGTTGTTTTAATTTTAATTTTTCCTTTGTTCAAGTATAAATCAAATCCATAAATAACATTGTCATTGCTTAGTTAAGCAAAATTCACTGATTGATCACCAATTTTAACGTTTTCTTTCATAACTCAGCTAATCGCTCACTTATTTGTAACTTAAGTGTCAAGGTCAAATAAAGGTTAAGTACAAATGAATCCCCTTGAATGTCTTATTACAAAGGTTGTTCTGTCGAAAAATAAGGACAATCCAACTTGAAACTTGATATAACTTATCTTTTATAAATCAATAAAAAGATCCAACAAACAAAATATATAACCTCAATGGCTAAACATTCTTAAATCTTGTACTCTAAAATCCATTTAAACTCCTGTAATCCTAAAAAGCAACTGACCAAACTTATTTAACAACTTTGGTTATACTTCATGGCTTTATGGAAGAAACATCCGAGAAGTTTTGACGATGCAAGACGCACAAAGCCAAAACAGAAAAGTTAACAATGAACAACAAAATAAAGTGTTTTTTTTTTCATATTCGATATACATGTAACATACCTGATATAACATTTTCATATCCTATACAACATTCCTGATTTAGCCTTTCTATTTTCTATATAACATACCGGATTAACCCTTTTCACACATTCTAAAGAACACACCGGATTAACTATAATTATTAAGCTCTTTCGTTTTCAATAGACATGATAAAATATACCTGAATTAGCCTTTTTCAGATTATTTATGGCATACCTGATTTAGCTATTATTAAGCATTTTCGTATTATATATAAGGCACCTAATTAAGTCATTTTATATTGTACATTACATACCTATTTTAGCCTTTTCATATTCTGTATAGCATACCTAATTAGTCATTTTATTATTCTATATTACATACCTGATTCAGTATTATCGTATCTATATAATGTACCAGATTTAGCCTTTTAATATTCTATATAAAATATCTAATTTTTAATATTCTATATAAAATATCTAATTTAGCCTTTTTCATTTTCTATATAACATACCCCATTAAGCATTTTTGTATTCTATAAAACATACCTGATTCAGCTTTTTATGTTGTATATAAGAATTTTCGGTTCTATGAAAATTAGTGTACCTGATTAAGCATTTTCATTTTTATTTAACATACCGGATTTAGACTCTGCATATTCTATGTAATATATCTGATATAGTATAACTTAATATACTCATATTCTATAATTATAATTTACTTGATGTATCCTTTTCATATTCTTTATAATGCACCTGCTTTAGCATTTTCGTATTCTAAATACTATACCTGATTTAGCCTTTACATATTCTATATAACATATCAGATAAATAGAGGATATTTGTTTAGTTCAGTGTAAGATCGGGATATATTTCACAGAGTGAGCACCAAAAGGTATATTTCACGAGTTGCGCAGCCACGAGTGAAATATGAACTTTTGGTGCTCACAAGGTGAAATATATTTCGATCTTACACTAAACTTAACAAATTTTCTTTTTATTACATGCAAAGAAACGTTTTAAAAAGACATTAAACCTAATATTGAATGAAAAGCGCGCCAAATAATAATACAACGTGAAGTCATTTACGACGTCACGTCATTAAGTTGGTACCCAGTACTGTGCACGCTGGTATTTCACTGAAACAACGTAAGGGGCTTAAATTCAAAACAGTGAAATTATCAAAGTGGTAATTTCACTGTTTCAAAACAGTGAAATTATCAGTTTTAATTCACTGATATATTTCTATAAACCATCGAAAAGCATGTAATAAAGCATTTTCGTATTCAATAAAATGTACCTGATTTTTCATATTCTATTTAACATACCTGATTTAGCCTTTTCATAACCTATATAACATACCTGATTTAGCCTTTTCATATTCTATGTAACATATCTGATTTACTATAATTTAGTATTTTCATATTCTATAATCATATTTTACCTGATTTATCCTTTTCATATTCTTTATAATGTACCTGATTTAAGCCTTTTGATATTCAATATAACATACCTGATTCAGCCTTTTCATATTCTAACTGTTTTTGTTGAAAAGATCCTTCTACCGCGAGTCCTTTTATCTCCTACAACATAAAAACTAATAAATGTTTTTATCATATATTTATAAATGAAATATTGAGAAATATCGATGAGAAAAATGCGTATTTCAATTTTCCTTATTTTCACAGTACAAATTTGTTTTCACTGCAGTGAAACAACTTTTTTCGTATTTTCGCTGGTGTCTTGCCGTACTACTTTCTTCTAAATTTAGCCAATACACAAAAAATCATAAGGTTAAAAAAGAAAAAGAGTATATAATAGACAGAAAGTTTTTTCTATTTATACATGATTTATAGAAGAAACTTGAATATCCTCTATTTATTCACAAATTTTCAAAAATGTTTATTGTATACAGTAATATTGTTGTCGTTTTTTTTCCAGAAAAGTTGTCTAAAATATCTAATGAATATCGAATCAAATCACTGCTGATGTAGTACTGATATAATCAAATTTTCTTCATTGAAAATTAGTTTTATTACTATTTGGCGAATTCTCTATTCCAAAAGAAGAAATTTCTTTATTTCGTTATTTTTGTGCAATCGTACATAATTTTTCTTAATGATATATGATGCTCAAATTTGTTATTAAACAAAATACTGATCAAATACTTTACATACTGTTCAGTCTCCTTTGAATACACACAATAAAATATGTTACGTTTTAAAATCTACAAACTACAGGTAATCACAGTATGACGACATAATGTTATTTTAAAAAAAAAAAAGTGGTAGTTTTTTTTTAAGAATATGCCAATTTAATTTGACAAGTAATAGGGAATGTAGCTACCTAATCAAATTAGACATATCCAGAAAGAATTAACTAGATTTTAATAAATTCTGCAATGAAGTATTTTACCCAAATATGAGCATAGTATTTGAAATTACGCAAAAATAATTGGAATTGAAGGCTAATCAACAAACGGTCTATAGATCATACTTATTTATAGCTTCTTTTTCAAAATGATACGCCTCTTTATTATTTCAAATTTCTTATTTGCAGTTGTCTTTAGATCATGAAAATAATCAAAACTTGCATTTAATCTTTATCAGCAAAATTATGTCCTCCTAGCAAAGAGTATGGTATTTGATTAATCAATGGCTAGAAAAGTCATAATTAAGGTCATTTGGTCACATTAAAAAATTAACCCAAGAATCATGTCTGTAAATTTTGATCAAAATCTTCCTTAAGTAAAGTTGTTTAAGAAACCATGGATTACAGCCACAATACAGAATATCACCACCAAATGCTTTATGCTTAGTTAAAATTAACACAAGAAGGCCATATCATTATAGAGGCATGATTAATAGGTCCTCAGGCAAGTCACTTTCCTTTATAAGGCAAAGTTATAGACTAATGATGTTTGTTTATAATGAGACTTTTTCAAAACTCTTCTTAAAAGTGTAATAGCTAATGAGACCTACTTCCAGTGTCGTACACATAGGACTGTTTTCATTTCGTATGTTTTGAAGAGGATAATTCCTTTAAACATTGGTCAAAATATTTAGCATAGTTTAGACCTACATGTTGTTAAAAGGAGTTGCAATCAAGAGCTATTGCCAGGCGGGACCATGCTCGACTTTTTCTTCTTAATCAAAAATATAAAAAGAAAAACTCTGTTGTAATGTATTTTTCAAGAAAACATAATTTTCCGGAATGTACATAATTATAATATCACATCTGACATTTGAGTTCAGCTCATTTACAGATCAAAGTTATATTTACATAATCTAATTAAAATCAGCTGATAAATTACGCTACGCATTAGGATATAACATTTACGGATAACGTAACGTTATTTTAAGGGACTTCTTTCGCCATTTTGTTTGAAAAATCTGATAAACAATTTTTTGTTGAATTTTGTTGTGAAAACTATCTAGAATGATAGAAAATGGTCTAACTAAGAAAATAAATCCGAACACCAATATCTTTAATTCAGTCATAAACGCTAAACAGACGTTTAAAGAGTTGTTTACGTGACGTCACAATGTAGCGCTAAATATCGCGTGCAAAACAAGACAATAATTATATTACTGCGCGCTGTACAATTGCAGTTGCGTAGCAAGCAAGGGTGTTTGTCACCATTTTTCTTTGATATTGAAATTAAATAAAAAGGTTATTTTTTTATGTTTTTCGTGAAATATGGTATATATTTTCAGTCAACATGATAATATGCCACATATTTTCACTCGCCGTCCCGGCTCGTGAAAATATGTGGCATTTTATCATGTTTCGTGAAGATATATTCCATGTTTCACTGAAATCTTAATATTACAAATGTTTTATCTTTACGATCAACATTATTTTTTGTCCAATCACATTCTAGTATTTTTCAAATTTCTGCTTAGTCTAACTTTGGTTAATGTGTACTAACTAAATAAAATTCACTTAATCTGGCGTCTAACCAGTCTAACAAATTTCAATAATGCATTATATTAGGGAGGAGTTAAAGGTATGGTTTACACTTTGAATTGTAAAATATCAAGGTTCGCAAAACAATGCCAACATAAAAAAAATTAGTCGAGGTCAGGTGTTTCTAAATGTGAGGATACAATCAATTAATTTATTACATAGATAATACATGTGGGGCACGCAGAGACAAATGATTACATAGTAACTTTTTTATATCCCTTTAACTCTAAGAAAAATGTCTGTTATAAATTGCTGTTTTGAACTTTATATTTTCTAAAACATTATTTTCTTTCACTTGATAGGAATGAACTGCATTAACAATCATTGATATTAAGAATACAATGATTACATTTTTTGGCTGGAAAACTCATTGTAAACCTGTAAACCTAAATTGATACATAAAAAATAAAAAAATGAACTTTTTTTCAAATGAGCAAATCAATAGGGGTTTCAAATGTTTGTGAATAACTTGAAGCTAATAACGAATTTGTATCAATTAATAATCTTTAATGTATTTTTCTCACATTTTCCATTTATTTTAAAAGGATGTACACATTTCATTAACTCCATTGTTTTTACCTAATTGCATTGTTTTTTTTTTCTTTTTTTCAGACATGATAGTCTTACTGTAGGTAAAGGTATAAATTCTGCGACATTTCAATAAAAACGTGCCTGGTTATATGTTGAAAGGGCCATTTATTTAGCTTATCTAAATATGACATGTTAGAAACTTGACAAGGTGTAGACATCTTGTAGAGCGAAAGGGCGGAGCTATCAGTGATTTAGAGAAATGCCTTGTTTTTGATTGAAAAAAATGTTGATCATTAAATAGGTGTATGTTTAATAATACGCATATGCGGCAGGCTTGACCAATTATGTTTGTTAATACGTATTATTAAACACTAACCTATACTTATAATTATAATATTTTACTATTTCTATACATAGTTTTCATATCATGACACAATGTATAATTATAACATGTGTGGTTAGATAAAAAAAAAGATGATAGGCGTTATCAGTTACATTAACATGAAAGTAAGTACAATCATAAATAATGGTAAATAGGCAGATAAAGAGAAAAGTACTGATATATTTATCATAATTTATGTAAAAACAAGTTCAGAATATCTGTCATAAATCATTTAAAAATAAAAAATAACTAGTGTGGTAGTATAACTTGACCTTACGAATAGTTATTTCATCATGATTAAAAAGGGATTAAAAGGGATACCTTTTCTTATATTGTTTCACGAATCATACACACTATCCTTTACAAGTGGCCCTATCTAGTCAATTTCAAATACAAATAATATATTTTTAATTTCAAATACACGTTCCCTATCAAAATAATACAGAATCGATTGAGAAAGAAGGTCTTAATCGGATCATTTTATAAATATCTTATGTGTTAACTTGAGCAGTTTTGAAACTTAAAATCGTTAATTATAATGTTTTTCTTACAATAGCATGGCTACAATATAGCGACAATAATTTATAGTTGCTGATTATCTTCGGCTATTGTATAAATCAATTTGTTAAAGTGAGAAAAAAATCAGTAATTCTTACAGCAAATATCAATCGTTTTGTACATGTGCTTAAAACAGTATTTAAAGGATATTTTTTGTGTGTGTATTTTAGTGTGAAATACGAAATATATGGAAATGTTATGTGAACGAATATTCAGTATTTAACGAACACGACAGAAACAAACCACCATTTTTTACAGAAAAATCACAGTAAAAGAGTAAAAAAGAAGGAAGATAAAACCCGCTTGCTACGCAGCTGTAAGCTGTACAACTGATTTGTTATAGGTACTGACGCGGTTCAATACACATTTTATTGCCCTAATTTTAAATTGTGTTTGAACATAACAAGAATTACAATAATGATATTTTTTTTTTAATGAATAGAGCTTTAAAGCTAATTAATGACTGTCTCTGAGAAAGCAGTCCCTAAATGAAAATATGCTTTTAGACTCCACCCACTTTCATATTTATGTTTAAATTTCATATTTGATATTAGAAAATATAATAGAGTAAAAAATAAATAAATAAAAAAAACAGAATAAAAATAACAAAACATAAACGAATTTTCACTCAAACTGAATTTTTTATTACTTACCTTTACTGTTTGAGACAAACGGGATTTACTAGACAAATGTACTGTGGGTACTTTGGGAAACCATACAAAATTTCAATAATCATTGACTGTCTTAAACAAATGTATAGGTGCGCAATTTGGGAAACCATGAACATTTCAAAAGTCATATGTTTTTATCTTATGTAAACAGGTGCAAATCCAGGTTAAATTTTTTAGACTTGTCACTTTAAAAGCAGTTGTATTGTAATCTTATATTTAAATGTGATTAATAAAGCAAGAATGAAACATGTATAATAAATTGTATTTTTTGTATAAATCTGTAATTCAGACGATAGTTCAAAAGATACTGCTGCTTTCAAGCAATCATCTTACCAATCTAGTAAGATGCTGTTTTTAATATCCGGGGAAATTTAAGGGTGTTCGCCGGGTGCGAAGAAGTTTTCTTACAGAGAAACAAGTAATTACTCAAGATTTTCATAATTTATATTTGTAAGTAAATAAATTCGCTAAATATAGTAACATATATTGGTTTACCCGATCTATTCATATTACAATTACTGCGTTTATAATCAAAATAATCTACTTGACATAAAAACACAGACATAACGATTTCAATTTTATAAAGATTGTTAATATCATGTCCTGTCTTAATTTATTTTGAATTATTATCAACGTAACTGAATTTTACATATCAAAGTTTCATGTAACCGAGTAAAGACGTCTTTTTCTTTTGTTCTTACTTTCTACTAACAGCGCATAAATGGTTTCAAACTATTTTTTATTTTTGAATAACATGACGTTTATTTTATACCTTTCTGTGAATCGTCTTGTGAACAGAATATACCTGTGTAAACTAAGGTGAAAAAGAACCAAAATTGGACTTATTCGCAAAAAGATGGCACATTATATATCACTTAACCCTGTGTGTTTTTGATTATCCTCAATTACTTCTATTCCAAATTTAATGCATAAAAGTACGATCAAATATTATATATGCCGTGTTCGTGATATACTGAATATTCTTTTTCTTCTGTTCTGTTCATAATATCATATTAAGTTGTTTGTGACAATATCTGTCCTTTTTGAAGAAAATATTTAACGGTCTGCCATTTTTTTATAAACTTAGTCAACATGTTTACTAGCAGCTAAGGTATAAATTAACAATTTAAAACTGCGTCACAGGTTTATAATTTAATGCGGGTTTGTAACTTCTAAATTTAGTTGATTATAGTTGGTAGACAATCATGTCTATGTCCCCGTGAGGGGTTTGACAATAAAGGAAGATAGATAGATAAAGAACACTGTGTTATTATCTTTATCAAATAGTGACAGGGGTGACTTTGAAAGAGATGATTTCAGTATTTAATATATTGCTAAATAAATATGGTTTATCAAAATGTAAATGATAAAAATGATAATTTATTTCAGTATATTAATACATGACATTACGTAATCGAGAAACAATATCAAACAATTATCGTCATGAGTGAAACAAGAACAAATATAATAAAATAAAAAATTAAGTCGTACAATTTAATCGTGTGTTTTTGAAAGTCTGTTATAATTCGCCGACGGCAAATTTGATAATAATTTTATCGCTGGAATACGGAAGTGCTGAGGAGACATTATGACCTTCACGACTTAAGACTAAGTGGATGGGATACGGTCAAAACGTACCTCTCTCTAAAACGTACCCCCCCCCCCCATGAAAAGTCAAAACGTAATCCAGTTAAGAGTCAAAACGTACTATCGACGAAGTACCACCTTTTTGACCAATCAATGGCAGATGATAGATTATTATCTGTTATTAGCAATTATTTAGAGGTGTTCTATCGCCTTTTTGAAGACTTATTTTGTTCTTATCATTGTTTCTATGAAATTTAAATTCTACTTCAGTATTTTAATGACAGCTCATGGTTTTTCATAAATTTGCAACGATAAATTCCGTCTAAGAGGCATTCTTACACGGCTTGTATTGTATTATATATTTGACCAAGTTATTCTATCAAAATAATTAATAGATAAATGTAACATATAAAACGTTCTGATCTGATGCCATATAATTTATAAGACAAATGTAAAGGTTTAATTCACTAATTAATCAAATATAGTACTAACATAAAACATCTAAGATGTATATTTTACATTTGATGAAATTATTACATTTCTAGCTATATATCTGTTCTTAAATATGTAATAAAAAAAAAAACACTTATTATAACATTTTTTTTATTTTAGTAGTACAGCACAGAGACCCAACGCCCACACAGACAGGGGTGGGAGTCTTTTTGCAAATTTCAGGCCAAGAACCTGTAGTTTGCTTTATACATACAGTTCTGAGATTAAAATGGGGTGATCTGAATTTGGGAAAGGAAATAATTGGTAGAGGAGCATTTGGCACTGTTTGTGAAGGAAATTGGATTGGAACAAAAGTTGCAGTGAAAGAAATAGTTGAAAATCGCATGAAGATTGCTAAACCAATAGTTCGTTTGATTGTCTAGATTTAATTTGATTGTAGTTTTTGCTGCATGGGAGTTTGTTACGCAACATACTTTCATGTTTCTTGGATGACTGACTAGCAATTTAAAATATGTTATGACCATAAAGTGAAAATACAAATATGTGGACATAATTTTCATTTCGATTAGCTATAGTCGAGGCTGTCATGTGTCATAAACCTGGGCAATATGTGGTCCCTCAGCTTTTGCATTTTTGTATTTTCTGATCGCAGACCAGGAAATACAATGCTGACATTCAATCACTGGCACAGCGCTTCACGACAAACCTAAAAACCTAACAACAAATAGTTCTCAAAACAGCTGGCGATATAAAAGAAAGAAATAGTTTTATTTTGTTACAAGTATCCAACAAATTACAACGCATTCAAAGTTTAAAAGTAGCGTTGAACTCAATTTGAATGATGATTTTAACTGGAATTGCATTTATAGGGTCCCTTTTAATAGTAAAAAAATAATTTACAATTGTTACAGTATAAAGGATACTGCCACCAAATTATCAGTTGCATAAAAATGAGAATAAAAGATGTTAATATATTTTCTTTCTGTCACAACCATATTGAAACTATCAAACATTTATTTATTATATAATAAGTTCTTCTTTCTAGGCAGGTATACGCCATATGCAATGATGTTAACGCACCCGTGGACCCTAAACGATATTATTCTGGGAATGAATACTTTAAAAAATGCAACCCTTAAATTGGGGGGTGAAACTCTTTTTTTGTGGCAAAAAAATGTCCCTTTTTCCCCGGGAAAACAATTTTTTGAGTTCCCTTTATCCACTTTGTACTGCACCCACTGGGCCCTTTTTTTATTTTTTTTTAAACCCTTTTACATGTTTGGGGCCCATAGTCCCTATTTAAATTTTTTTTTTCCCTTCTTATATTATTGCCCTAAAGTATTAAAATTGGGCAAAAAAGGTAAACTTTTAAAAAAGGACACAATATTTAAAAAAAGTATGAGTTTTTTCCCTGAAGCAGAGAAAAAATTTTTTTCAAAAGGGTTTTCAATTCGGTTTTTGTGGGAAATTTTTCCCTTATGTTAAAAAAAAGTTTTTTGATTATGTAATGTAAGAACTTCTGAAAAGGCATCTTTTTCTAATGTTATATTTAAATCAGGTCTTTCATTAATATCGTTTTACAATCTTGATAAGATACTAGTAATTTTGTTTTCATCTTTGTAGAATCTTTAAAGAAATATCTTCCTTTTTGAACGTATATCTCTATATATTGTAAGTATATGCGTAAATGATTTGTATTGTGAAAACACACTTAAAAAAACAACTAATAAATATTTTCAAATAAGTCTAATCATCACAAACGTGTTTTAAAATTAGTTGTATCAATTTGATTACTCTACTCTGACCTTGTATTTGATTAACAATTATAGATTTAATCACATACATTGACATATGTTCCTTTGTAAACATGTTGTGATGAAATTCTTATTGTCAATGTTGCCTGATGTCGAATCGTATTTAATTCAGTCAACGTAGCAGAGTGTCTACAATACAACAACTTAGCTCCCTTTTCAACTTTTGACCGTGACCTCGATACCGGCGCATCTCGTAACTGCGCTGTGGACCGGCATGGAGGATGGTGGTATAACGCAAGTTCTTACGTCAATCTGAATGGTCTATATGTTACACCAGGTACAACATGTAACTTCCCTGGTGCACAATCCGGTTATTGTGGACATACACATACAGGTTTTAATGGACAAAAAGGATTGATAAGGTCTTCGATGATGATGAGAAGGACATAGAAATGTCATCGTGATCATTGTAATTTCAAATTAAGTTAGATAAGTGAATGGTTTAATGTGACGAAACATTTTTGGAAATGATTGTATTACATTTAATATTGTGAACAGTGAATAGACATAACTAGTACAGTTGACATAAAAAAGTATGATCATTATAGTATTGCTTACTGTGCAGCCAATAACGAATCATAATTTGATAATAAAATTCCTTAAGAACGTTTTTGTCCCATCAAGAATTATGATGATTTATATGATATAATTCGAACATTCGAATCAAAAGCATTTTACGCAAAGCATTTTTCATTTGAAACTCTAAATTTTAATCGATGATATGCATATACAAACATTTCCACTTTTTGATGTAAATATTACAAATTCATTCTTTGATTTTCTTTCATCTGTTTGTGAGCTGTTTATTATAATTCTACTTTATCGCATATCTTTTAATTTTCATTGAAATATTTTTTTTCGTTTGATGGTATACTATTTAGATGCTTTTATTAACTGAAACGTTACTGTCTAATGTACTGTCTAATACCTCTGAAACAACAATTATCATTGACCTCATGAAAACTCCTTTATTGACAAAGTAAACATGGCTAATAACCTTACGACTTCAAAAACAATAGGAATCATAGATAACAAAATTAAAAGTCCAAAGGTTGTTTCACAATCTTTGATATCTGGAAATCTGAAAGATATGAAAATAATTTTGATTTTTTGATATCTTGTTGTTTTTCATGTGTCTGCAATATGTTACAAAATAGCCTAAAGAATTTGAGATTATATGCCTT